CATTAAATAGTTTAATGTTGGTGTTTGGTCAGTGGGCAGCATTTCTAGAATTGATAATTCAGGGAAGAAGACATCTTGATCTCATCAAACCTCAGCCATTTTCTATGACTTCATGGTCCTCTTTATCCAGCTGGCCAAAAATTGAAGAAAGGGAAAGACAGGAGCAGTTCCCTAGAGCAGTGTTTTCCAGTGGAAATATTAGGATGAATCACATGTGCAAGGGAGCCAAGATTACTGAATGGAGAAAAGATCATCTCTTCAATAAATGGTTCTGGGAAAACTGGGTATTCGTATGCAAAAGAGTAAAACTGGACCTATATCTTACACTGTTCATAAAAATCCACTAAAAATGGATTAAGAAAACATAAGGGGGAAAAAAAACCTCCTTAACATCGGTCTTGGCAATAATTTTATAGATATGACACACAAAGCACAAGCAACAAAAGCTAAAATCAACAAAAGGTACTACATCAAACTAAAAAGCTTCTGCACAGCAAAATTAGCAATCAAAAAAATGGAAAGGCAATCTATAGAAAGGAAGAAATCACTTGCAAACCACATATTTGCTAAAGGTTTAATCTTCAAGGTATATAAGGAACTCATACGACTCAATAGCAAAAGCAAAAGCAAAAGCAAAAACAATCCAATTAAAAAAATGGGCAAAGGAACTGAACAGACATTTTTCCAAAAGAGATGTTCAAATGGCCAACAGGTACATGAAAAATTTCCCAACATCACAAATAATAATAAAAAATGCAAATCAATACCACAGTGAGATATCACTTCACACCTGTTAGAATGGCTATTATCAAAAAGACAAGTAATATCAAGTGCTAGTGAGGATGTGGAGAAAGAGGAATCTTTCTATTAATGGAATGATATACTGTTAATGGAATGTAAATTGGCATTAACTCTATGGAAAACAGTATGGAATTTCCTCAAAAATTTAAAATTAGAACCACCATATGATTCAGCAATTCGACTTCTGGGAATACATCTGAAGGAAATGAAACTGCTATCTCAAAGAAATATCTCTTCCCCTATGTTCAT